ATGGGTGTGGTAAAGTGACGTGAACCTAACATGTGTGCCTACACGTGTGTGGTTGGTGAGTGTGTTTCGAGCTCAATTTCGATAGCATTGGATCACAATGTGTACGTTAATTCATATAGTCAGAGTGTCAAATGCGAGAATTTACAATATGCACAACAAACTTCCCTTAAGCAATTCATCAAACATGTAGCATACATTCCGTGTGAACCATAGAAAATACCAAAGTTGAATGTGCCACCAGTCCATAACACAACCCAAGTTCACACACACAAACCATTGATTACCTATTGCCCATTCTCCCATAATTCCATCAAAATTGAAATAGGAAACCATAAATTAATCCAATTGAAGGAACCGAGAGGGTGGAAAGAAAATTACCTTTTTGGTGAGTATAGTGGTTGATTCACGGGGTGAAGGGTTGGGGATTGCAAATTGGTGTTTTTTGTGTAGTGAATGTGTTGTAAAAATCGCCTTGTGCTCGAGAGAAGATTGAAAAAATTTGATTGTGTGAATGAGGAATTGGGCGTGGGTTAAAATCTCACACCAGATTCTACCATGTGGCCACATGGCTTTATGCCGTGCAGTCACATGGTTCAAGTGGCCAAGGCCACTTGAAACCCAGATAATGATTGTGCGGTTGTACCTTGTGACCGCATGGTCCAATTTATTTTTTTTTTAACAAAACAAAACATAATGGAATACAAAAATTTATTTTACCTCTTTGAATTCTCTGGCACATATTTCCCCTTTAAATTTTTGAAAACGTCATTTTTTCTTGAAATGCATGAATTTTACTCCCAATCACCCAAAATCATTTCAAACTCACTGAATATGAGTATAATGCCTAGAAAATTATGTGGACGAGAATTGGATCCTATTAACATGCATGGATAAACGATGACCTAGAAAAATGCAAATTCGAAAATTAAATAACTCTGAAAATAATGTGAAAAGTACGATAAATAGAAGGATATAGTGGGTTGCCTCCCACCCAGCGCTAGGTTATAGTCGATAGCTCGACTTTACCGCATTACGTCATTCTGGTGGTCTAAGATGAAAGGTATTCTTTTCGTTTGAAAAATCGCTGCCCCAATAGTGTTTCAAACGCTGTCCATTGACCTTGAATGTTCCATTGCTGTCGTGAGTTATCTCAACTGCCCCATGTGGAAATACCTGTGTAATAGTATATGGACTAGACCTTCTCGATCGCAGCTTTCCTATGAACAACTTAAGCCTAGAGTTGTAGAGTAGCACTTTTTGCCCCACCTTAAATTCACTCCCCTAAATATGTATATCATGCCACTTCTAGGTGCGTTCTTTGTAGAGTCTTGAATTCTCATAGGCCTCCATTCGGAGCTAGATCTCATTAAGTTTAGTAGACATTTTTCACCCGCAGCCTTCAAGTCCTAATTCAATTTCTTCATTGCCCAGTAAGCACGGTATTCTGTCTCAAGAGGTAAGTGGTGTGCCTTTCCAAAAACCAGTCGATATGGTGACATTCCTATAGGGGTCTTGAATGCAGACCTATAGGCCCATAAGGCGTCGTCCAATTTCTTAGACCAATCTTTTCGTGACAAGCTTACTGTGATTTCGAGTATTTGCTTCAGTTGCCTATTGGACACTTCGACGTGTCCGCTGGTTTGGAGATGATATGCAGTGGCTACACGATGTTTAACGCCATATTTAGTCAACAACTATTCAAATTGGCGATTGCAGAAATGTTTGCCCTCGTCACTGATTATAGCTCTCGGTGTTCCAAAGCGGGTGAAAATATTTTTCTTTAGGAAATCAATCACCACCTTCCCATCGTTGGTAGGCAATGCAATGGCTTCGACCCACTTCGATACATAATCCACAGCCACCAATATGTACTGATTAGAGAATAATGGGGGAAATGGCCCCATGAAGTCGATCCCCCAGACGTCGAATAGTTTCACCTCCAGGATATTGTTCAAAGGCATTTCGTTTCTCATGGATATATTACCGGTGCGTTGACATTGGTCACACATTTTCATGAATTCAAAAGCATCCTTAAACAGCGTAGGCCAGTAAAAACTTGATTGAAGGATCTTCGTCGCTGTTTTTGAAGCACCAAAATGCCCTACGTATGTAGATGAATGACAATGTTCTAATATCAAAGGTACTTCTTCCTCAGGTACGCAGGGACGAACGATTTAATCAGCTCCCCGCCTGTATAGAATAGGGTCTTCCCAAAAATAATACTTCAATTCAACGAAATTTTTTTTCTTCTGGTGACTTGTGTAATCTGGCGGAATGATAGACTTGGTTAAGTAGTTAACTATGTCAGTTTACCAGAGTGCCTCCCCCACACCAAAAATCTGTTCATCTGGGAAAACTTCATTGATTTCCACGGTCTCTGTCTGCTCTGTGGTCTCGAGTCGAGACAAGTGGTCTGCCACCACGTTTTCACTGCCCTTCTTATCCCTAATTTCCAAATCAAACTCTTGAAGCAACAGTATCCAACGAATGAGACGTGGCTTTGCATCCTTCTTTTCCATTAAGTACTTGATAGCAGCATGATCTGTATAAACGATGACCTTTGACCCCACAAGATATGATCGAAATTTGTCAAAGGCGTAGACTAGTACAAGGAGCTCTTTCTCTGTAGCGGCATAGTTTAATTGAGCGTCGTTCGAGGTCTTACTTGCATAGTATATCACGTGAAATATCTTATTTTTTCGTTGTCCCAATACGGCCCCAACAGCGAAATCACTAGTGTCGCACAATAATTCAAACGGCAAGTTCCAATCCGATGTGAAGATCACGGGTGCTGAAATCAACTTTTCTTTCAAGGTGTTAAAAGCCAACAAACACTCGTTTGTAAACTCAAATGTGGATTCCTTCATCAACAAATAGCACAGTGGTTTAGTTATTTTTGAGAAATTCTTGATGAACCTTCTGTAGAAAGTAGAAACCGACATGCCCGAGGAAACTACGAACACCTTTCACTGATATTGGTGACAGTAATTTTTCGATCACTTGAATCTTTACTCTGTCTACCTCAATACCCTTTGCTGAGATTTTGTGTCCTAAAACGATGTCCTCCTGTACCATAAAGTGACATTTCTCCCGATTCAATACCAAGTTGGTCTCTGTGTACCGCTGTAACACAAGACTCAGATGCTTCAAACACTCATCAAACGTAGACTACTGCAAGGAGCTCTTTCTCTGTAGCGGCATAGTTTAATTGAGCGTCGTTCAAGGTCTTACTTGCATAGTATATCACGTGAAATATCTTATTTTTTCGTTGTCCCAATACGGCCCCAACAGCGAAATCACTAGTGTCGCACAATAATTCAAATGGCAAGTTCCAATCCGATGTGAAGATCACGGGTGCTGAAATCAACTTTTCTTTCAAGGTGTTAAAAGCCAGCAAACACTCGTTTGTGAACTCAAATGTGGATTCCTTCATCAACAAATAGCACAGTGGTTTAGTTATTTTTGAGAAATTCTTGATGAACCTTCTGTAGAAAGTAGAAACCGGCATGCCCGAGGAAGCTACGAACACCTTTCACTGATGTTGGTGGCAGTAATTTTTCGATTACCTGAATCTTTGCTCTGTCTACTTCAATACCCTTTGCTGAGATTTTGTGTCCTAAAACGATGTCCTCCTGTACCATAAAGTGACATTTCTCTCGATTCATACCAAGTTGGTCTCTGTATACCGCTGTAACACAAGACTCAGATGCCCCAAACACTCATCAAACGAAGACCTAAACACTGAGAAGTCGTCCATGAATACCTTGATGAATTTCTCAATCATATCCAAAAAGAGAGCCATCATGCAGAGCTGAAAGATGGCAGGAGCGTTGCATAAACCAAAAGACATCTTACGGTATGCAAAGGTGCAGTAAGAGAATGTGAAAGTTATCTTCTCCTGATCGTCAGGTTCTACTGGAATCTGATTATACCCGGAGTACCCATCCAGAAAATAGTAATGCGAGTGCCCTACTAGTCTCTCCAACATCTAATCAATGAACGGTAGTGAAAATGATCCTTTCGAGTAGCAGCATTTAGTTTGCGGTAATCAATGCAAACTCTCCATCCAGTCACTGTTCTTGTAGGAATCAACTCATTTTTCTTGTTTTCCACCACTGTGATACCCCCTTTCTTGGGAACAACCTGTACTGCACTGATCCATGCACTATCTGATATTGGGTAGATGATGCCTGCATCGAGCAACTTCAATACTTCAACCCTTACCACTTCCTTCATGTGTGGGTTCAATCTCCGTTGACCATCGATGCTTGGTTTAAATTTCTCCTCCATGAGTATTTTGTGCATGCATAGTAACGGGCTGATCTCCTTGATATCTGCAATTGACCATCCAATGACTGTTTTATTCTCCCTCAGCGCCCGAAGTAGTCTCTCTTCCTCCACTTTACTGACATTATTTGAAATAATAACCGGGAGTGTAGAAGACTCCCCCAAGTAAGCATATCGAAGATGTGGTGGCAATTGTTTGAATTTCAACTTGGGAGGTTGCTAAATAGATGGCATTGACTTTGTAGTCCTAATTCCCAGTTCTTCGAAGTGACGATTGTGCATGTATGGTATATTAGTTTCCAAAAATCGTGCATATGTTTCAATCTCACTTGAATCAGTGTGAGTGGATTGAGAATGTGCAATGCCTGCCTCGTAGGCATCGGAAGGATAATGTAACCGAAATGTATCTTGAATTATTCTATCAATTACATCGATTTGAAAACAGCTGTCTGACTCAGTAGGAAATTCCATTGCCTTGAACACGTTGAAAGAGATTTGCTCTTCCCCAAGCCTCAAAATAAGCTGCCCTTTCTGAATATCGACAATAGCTCTTCCAGTAGCTAAGAAAGGTCGCTCCAATATGAGTGGAACATCCTTATC